TTCATAATTGTCTCTGCAAATATAGCAAAATGAATGCCTGTATTTGACTAATTTCTTCCTTTGAACATCCTTGAATGCTTCAATGAGAGATGTCTCCTTTCTGCATTACTACCTGCTAACTTTGCATGAGCAATTTGAGGATTTGAAAGGATTATACTGAAGAGCCACCACACCCTTTCCCTTCTTCCTTCTACAGTTGTAGAATGTAAGAGTTGAAATATGTAGCAAGTCACCTTCTTGTTTAACTATTTTACTTTAAGTTAATCAGGCCTGGAAGTTGAATGAAACATCTGCTTTGGGTCAGAGGGCCCCATAAATCCAATCTGTCAGTTTATCTTTGGATGTATTGTGGAACCATCCATGCGTGTTTATTTATAGGTGTATATTTATAACTCTCTTCCTCTTCATGTAATCCCAGTGTTACCAAAGATCTTTTGTGCAGCAGAATCTGTATACATAATAATAGCAGCTGTACTGCATGTTGCCTTTTGTGTAGGATCATTTAACTGGTTACTGTAGGTTCTCTTGCTCCCCTTTGTCATTGTTGTTTTGCGCTAGAGGCTGGTCATTCGTCTTGCCTGCAAAACCTTAAGAAAAAACATTAGTTTCTCCAAATGCTTTTAATTCCAAAGTGTTCGTTTCTATTTCTGTTGCTCGTTGAGTTCAGTGTTCATAAAAATAATATTAACTGATCGCTTTTATCTTCCTGATAAGAACTGGGTGTTTCCCTATTAAAATTTAACTAATAGGGCTTACTTGCAACCTACTTCATTGCAGATCTCTTTTGATATCAGAAGTTCTTAGCAGTGTACAAGGGAAAGGGCTATTTTGTGGCCACTGTTTTGAGCAGGGGTAGGCAACCTTTTTGAGCCGGGGCCGTGTTGCTGTCCCTCAGACAATTGGGGGGCCGAAGTACTAATAATAAATAAATAAATATTAAAAATTTAAAAAATAAAAATAAAAAAAATATGCGTGCACACTCTCTCAGCCTCAGAAAAGCCATGGCAAAACCCCTGTGGAGATTTTGCCAAGAAAACCCCAAGAACAAGTAATAACAACAATAATCAATATCATCATGGCAGGCAGTGGCGGGGGGCGGTGGCAGCGGCGGCAGGACTGGCCTGGGGCCGGTCCAAAGGCCTCGGGGGGGCCGCATCCGGCCCCCTGGGCCTTAGGTTGCCTACCCCTGGTTTTGAGTATGTTTTTAGTACGTAAGGCACTTGAGACAAAATACCAAAAGAATCAGGAAATTGCCTGGAAAAAGAAAATGGAGTATTTATATAACTCAAGGTTTGCATAAATATAGTAGACATTTGAGTAGCAATTCCTAAATATCTCTTTCATTCCACTGTATTGGTCTAAAGATGTTTGGCCCAAAGAATTGCTTCAGTGATTAACATTTCTGCACTATAGGATTCATAGGTTTCAAGGCACCTTTACTATGGGATTCATCGGTTTAAAGGTGCACAAATAAGTGATAAGGCAAAGGCAAATCCCCTCTGAACAAATCTTGACAAGAAAATCCCATGATAGGGTCAACATATGTTGGAAATGGCTTGAAAGGACACAACAACAAATATGTATGCTCTCCAAGGTTATATTAGGCATTGTAGCATTTGGTGAAATTAAAGTAAGATTTAGTTCATGAAACAAAAAAGAAGCAAAATGGGAGAATCCAAAAATATAGGTATGTAGGAATCAAGCTGAAAAAAAAAAAGCATCTAGACATCACCGGTAACAAGATGGTGACTAGCTTTCAGTGGTAGGAGTAGTGCTGTGGAAGAAATATGTAAAACCTATGGGATCAACCTGTCTGTTTAATTTCTACAAAATGACAGCAACTTATTTCCATAGAGTTGTTTTGATTATTAAGACCAAGGGCTCATCTATACCAGCAAGAATACTCTGGGTTGCCCTGGATTCCCCTGTTACCTCCACAATCAGCTATCTACACTTGCATCACTGCTTTCACCTGGTGCTGCTGCTGTTGGCACACGTTGCTCCCTCTAAGGTCAGAAACGAAGTGCTGAGCACCTTATTGTGACCTCAAAGGAAGTGATTAGTAAGAGTGGCAGTGCCGCCAGGCAACGATGGGAATGCATATGTAAATGGCTGCCCAGCATTGCTATGGGATTCTTGAGGTTTTTCTGAAAAATTCAGAGCAAAAGTGAGTTATTTAAAGCCAATTTAAGACTCATTTGATGTGGATTCAGTACAGAACTGACCTTATGTTGTGAAGACAGTCCGCACTCAAATTAAAGATTTGACCTGTATTGTGAAGTCAAGTCATTGTGAGGATGGGTTGAGACCATTTTGTTTGGCCCGTGTAGATGAGCCCCACCTGTAAGAATTATTTTGAATGTCTTTTATTTCTGAAATATCTAAAATCAATCTGTTGTGTACATGCTTTCTTCCCACCCACTCCTGTCTTGGATTATATCCAGATTTGTGCTCAACTGAGAACTGATATACACTCATCTCTTCACATTTGTGGCTTTGACTTTTGCAGATTTGTTTATTCACCAATTTTATTTATTTCTCTAGGAATATCTAGGTCATCCAGCACAACTCTATGGTCAACTTTAACCAAAAGTCGCACTGAAGGACGTAGAGATTCCTAGAGAGAACACTCCACTAAATATTTGTAGCTCCTCCAGCACAATTCTATAGCCAGTGTCTGGCAGATGTTGATCACAGAGTTGCACTGGAGGACCTAAAGATTCTTCGAGAGGTGTTTCTTAGATTAAAAACATAATGTTTTTGTTATTTGCATTTTCCCCATATTCACAGGGGTCCTGTTCCCTGGCCTAACCCAAGTGAATGTGGAGGGATAAGTGTAGTAGAGTACTTAGACTTAGATTCAACACACTACAGAAATAATTCAATTCGAGACCACTTTAACTGCCCTCAGTGTTAGGGAATCTTGGGAATTGTAGTTTCTTGTGGTACCAGAGCTCTCAGACAGAGAAGGCTAAACGTCTCACAAAACTACAGTTCCCAGGATTCCCTAGCAGTTTAAGTGGTCTCAAACTGGATTATTTCTCCCGTGTGTTTTGGACCTTAGTTCTCATCTGAGAATTAGTATGATAAAGAACACCAAATGCTTTACCATTTGTTCTCATTGTCATGAGTTTCAGATCCCAATTTAGGATGCTGAGTGTGCAGCCTTAAACAGTTTGGAACCAGTTTGATTTTGTTTTGTTTTTAAACTCTATATGCCACTGCCAGGATGCTAAGATTAGCCACAAAGGCCTAGTTAATGTGTCCATTGTTAAAAGCCTGTTTGCAATCACAAAAGACAGAGCCTTTTCTGTGATGGTGCCATCCTTATGGAATACTTTTCCTTGGATTCTGTCTGTGCCTCTCTCCTTGATTGTTTTTAAACAGGGCTTAAATACTTGACTGTTCTAAACTGCTTTTAATTAAATCAAAGGCCATCTTTTACTTTCCCTCCCCCCCCTCAATTTTGATTATTTAAAATGTTTTATGTTATTTATGTATATACTTCAGATGGCGTCTCTCCTCTTAATGACTGTCTCAGAGCGGTAATGGATTGGATGAGGAAAAACAAATTGAAGTTAAATCTAGACAAGACGGAGGTACTCATGGTCACAGGTGCAAAACCAGATCTGGGAATACAGTTTCCAGTCCTGGACGGGGTCACAC